GGGAAGAAAAGTTTGAAAAGTACATGGAGGAGCAACAGCTAGATAAGGTTTTTGAGGTGAGTGCTCGGTTAGACAGGTAGGGTGATGGGTATCCGGTGGTTTTTCGTTTTTTTAAACTGACAGTTGCTATGAGCGAAGAGTATGCATGTCCAGAAATTGGAATTGGACAGTTAGGCCAACACTATAAGGCCAATTTGCTATAGCGTGAATCCTCGGGGAGAGTAAGGCTTCGAGAACAAATGCATTACTTTGCTTGGGCTCATCGTCGAAAAAGCAAAAAACTTACGACGTTACTACTTGCTTAACCCCGTTCGTGTGTAAACTACTCACGCGCACAACAAATTGCAATAAAGGAAGATGACTAGCCTTTCAGACTCGCCTTGAACCTTTTCTAATTCTCTGACAGTTAAGCTGAGAATTTATCCCGTACATCAGACAAGTACGCCTATAGTAGGTTTATTATCCAGTGAACTGTTAACTGAACTGCTAAAACGTATTTTCGATTAGAAAAAATATTTATTGAAGTTTTTGATGTTTAATATCGTGTGGTATAGGTCCCAGACATGTCAGTCGCGCCAGGATGCCGAATTTTCTATGAGGATATTTTCAGTTGTTTGCGAAAACAACGCTTTGTAAAACGAATAATAGAATAGTATAAATTTGTTTCACCTAATTTCGATGTCTTCATTAATCAAAATATTTGTCACAGAGAATATGTATAAAAATATTCTCTCTTGTATGCATTTGGTCGAAAATAAAGTCTTCCTCCACGTTTATGCCTAAAGATGGGGTGGTTTTAGGTTTTAAATTTGCTTTTCATTTATGAGTTTTTAAGACCGTGAAATGGCCATTCATAAGGTATCGTGTCTGTCTATGTTGTAATGCTGCATGCAAAGTCTACAACATGGTCCATATCCACCGCAGAGCCCTATGAGTCGTCTGTGACCTCTTAATGCTGTACAGAAATGTATGATTTTTTTCACACGAAAAATAGATAACTTGCAGTCTGGACACTCTGGATGCAGGTCATCTGCAAGGCCAGTCCAAAATATTCGGGAATCGAGAGTTTCTTAAAACTGAAAGATACTCATTCTGTACGGTTAAACCACAGAGAAGACGTAATTTTCTACCAAATGCAGACTACGAAGAGACGTATTGTATAGTCTTTCTAAAAATATATCAGCATTTACGTGGGCATTGAAAATCAACGGGACATTTAGAACGGTCCTGTACACCCAAAAGAATTTCGTCGCGGCGCCGTAGTTACCATGGTCAAAAGCCGCTAAACCAACAACCAGCAGCTTATCACCTCGGTTGACTACCAGTCCCCCCTAACGCTGAGCAGATTTTGACCCCATTCCTCCTTCCCATCTCCCCTGAAAACCGCACTATTTTTTCTATCAACCCGCCTAGTTTATTTACTTAATTACCATATAAGTGTAAAGGCCTGACGAGAATTTATCGAAAACAAAGGTATGTTCGCCAATTAATCTTCTGGACATTTAGAACAGTTTAGTTTCTCTCAGTGACCGGAAGGAAGCTCCTTCAAAAGTTCACATCCTGATATGGTAGGGATTATGCTGCACAACAATTGAAGTGGCACATCCACTTATGTGATGTTTTTCTAGTCGAAACATATTTTAGAACTTTGGTTAACCTTTCACGAGATAGCAAATCTGCTTTCTCGAAAGATATGCTCCTTCTAGGTTAGGGGAGAATGTATTCCATTTCGCTTTTGGTTAGGCCTTTAATCAAGATGCTGAGAAGTCAGTATGTCGGGAGTAGACGAATGAGACTCACTGATGTTGAATTGTGACCATCTAGTGTCAGATCAGTGGGAAATTTCAATATTTTTTAAACGAAATGCACTATCACTTCTGCCTAAGATTGCTACTGTTAGTCCCCAGTATTCATTTTCTAGTAATTTAGGCTCTTTCAGAAAGTGAAGAAAAATGTGAACCCACAGCTCTTAGTTACGTGAGTTGATACATGGCTACTTGGTGATCGGTACTAGATGATATATTAACCGGGTAGAGAGCCAGGAGGTCCATTTCG